CCTGTATAGGATCTGAACCCGTGGCCTTGGTGTTGTCAGCACCGCACTCTCCCGAGTGAGCCACGGGGCCGGCCCTGCCCTTCTAATCTTTATACTCAGATTTTTCTTAATCTCAGAATAGATTGTTTTTAATTCTGTATCTTTTATATTATGTCTTTAAATCTGTTCCATTCATTTTTTCTTTAAAAGTTTCATTGAGATGTAATTCACATACCATAATATTTACCATTTTATTTTATTTATTTATTTATTTTTTAACGGATGACCGGTAAGGGGATCTTAACCCTTGACTTGGTGTCAGCACCACGCTCAGCCAGTGAGCAAACCGGCCATCCGTATATGGGATCCGAACCCGTGGCCTTGGTGTTATCAGCACCGCACTCTCCCAAGTGAGCCACAGGCCGGCCCATATTTACCATTTTAAAATATATAACTCAGTGGTTTTAAGTATATTCACAGAGTATCACCACAATCTAATTTTAGAACATTTTCTTCATTTCACAAAGAAACACCAAACCCATTATAATGGTCACTCCCCATTCGTGTCCCTATTCCCTCTCCAGGCAACCACTAATCTACTTTCTGTCTATAGGTTTGCCTGTTCTGTTCATATAAATGGAATTATATTGTATGACTGACTTCTTTGTTCCTTTTGTTTTGAAGTCCAGTTAAGAAGTACTAATTATTCATGTCTTGGCTTTGCCAAACTCTGCTTTTTCCTCCCCAGTTCTTGTCTCCTAACTGTTTTGCCTTTCTGTCCTTTTCCTTTTCTCAGAGTTTCTCAAGCTTGTCTCCACCTCCGTTGCAGTTTTCTGCTGTTTCACTTCTCTTTGTTGCTTCTAAGTTAAGTCTGTGCTTTTGGTTTCCTTTCAGTTCTTCCCCACCTTGGCTTGTTGTCTCTTGGTCTCTGTCTGTTTTCTTCATGTGATTGTATGTTCCTCTTTCCTTTGTTTTTTATTATTAACTTTTAAAACAAAAACTACTTTTCTTCCTTTATTCCAGCTGTTTTTTGAAATTTTCTCTTGGCTCCTACAAAAGATCCTCTCTGAGGTTAGTGTCTTCACAGAATACCCTGAATACAGTTCTTGGCTCCCCTAAGCATGTTGATCTGACGGGCTGGGTATGTCACATGTGGATGTGTGTTCTGGGCACTCGTAGAGGTGAAATCTCCTGTCCTTAGCAGTTGAACCACTTTGCTCCCAACCTTCTCCCCTCATCAAATGGCTTCTCCTCTAATCAAGTGGCATCTTCCTCTTATAGCCACTGCTGAGTTCCTCACAATTTTTATAAATGAGTGACACTTAAAGCTGCTTTTCTCCTGGAATGGTCCTGGTTCCTCTTCTGCCTTTATTCTGGGGACCCCCATCTTCCAAGATGTGCTTTGCTGATGGTAGATGCCCCTTCTGCTTGGCTGGCTGTCTTCTGAGCCTTGTGGTCCCTGTCTGGATTTGGGAAGTGTAATCTGCTGTTGGGGAAATGGAGGCAGGTGTTTGCCTTCCCAGAGGGCACATGCCAAGGGGTAGAGGGTGTCCACTGCTCAGGTTCCTGGCAGGCCTTGGCCTGGAGTTAGGATGAGAAAGAACAAAGCTTGGCTACAGGTGTGGCTTCTTCCCTGTTACTGATACTAGATTGTCAGTGTGTGTTTGCCGTTTTCGTGTCTCCACGGGCACTGTTCAGTGCAGCCTCTGCAGCAGGGACCTACGTACCAGATCCATGTTGACTTGGACTCCAGCAGTCAGCCCTTCCATATTATAGTTATTTGTTGACTTTGCCTACGGTTTAATGAAGAGATCCTGCCTTGAGAGCTCTGAAATTCTTTGAGCTTTGAAAATAATTGTCTCTGGGCACCTGATTGGGAAATGAAAAATTACTGGGGAGTAAAATAATCCTCCTTTTCGCTGAACTGGAAGCAACGTGGGTGGACTTGTTCATCTGAACTGCAGGGCTTGGAAGGATAGGTTTTAATTTCCCTTCTTTGCAGGTTTGAGAAATGTAATCCTAGCAGCTGCTTCGTTTCTACAATAGAATATCCGGCTGGCCGTGTAGAAACCTGCTACGGATTGATGTTAAGGAGACCATAACAGAGGCATGCAGTAACTGTTTGTAACCAGGTGGTGGCTGTTGTGTAATACAAATAGCATTTCTGAGGAGGTAGCTGGCCGTGTAGAAACCTGCTACAGATTGATGTTAAGGAGACCATAACAGAGGCATTCAGTAACTGTTTGTAACCAGGTGGTGGCTGTTGTGTAATACAAATAGCATTTCTGAGGAGGTGGTGCTGTTATACAATTTTGGCCAGCCTGTCTGGGTTATAAAAGCCGAAATTCCTTCAAGCACCTGAAATGTCTCATGCCGAGCACCAGGACAATCACAGCGTGGCTCAGATGCCAGCACAGAAGTGGTGGATGGGGTTCTGATGAAAGGACATTTTTGTGGATAGGGTGAGGTTTCACTCTGAAGGTAAGATAATTTCTTGGTACATAAGCTCAGCTTTGGGGAATTCGTTCTGGGGCCGCACAGATTAATTAGTATTTGTGTGTCTTTATGTGTCTGTGTATGCATCTGGGTCTGCGTGTATCTGAGTGTGTTCATATCTATGACCATGTGTGTGATTTTTCTACATATATGTCTGTTTCTGCATGGGCATGTGTCTGTACATGTGACTGTGTCTGTGTAGGTGGGTGAGGAGCCTGTGGCTCAGGTTTGCCAGCTGGGTTACTAGAAAACCTGCAAAGAATTTCTCAGTGCTGTCAGACATTATTTGTTTTTTTTTAATTATTCGAAATATTTTAACATTTACTTGTACATGTTTGTGGGGGTACAGTATGTTTTTTCAGTACATGCATATACTGCATAAAGATTCACTTAGGGTAGATAGCACAGCATTATTTGAATATTAATAACTGAGCATTAACATTTATGCAACTCTTAGAAGGCAGTACCCTTCATTAAATATGTGAGAGAAAGAATGATAGTAAAAACCTGATCTGTAGCAATTAAAGTGTCAGATTCTGTGTTTTTCAGATGCTTGCTTACTTTATTCTCTGGGTCAAGTCCAGTTCCAGGGCTGCCGGAGCTCTGTGTGTTCTTTTACGTTTTCCTTTATTTAGAATTTCAGGGGGTTCGATGAGAAGTAGGTACACAAGCAAAGAGGAATGTAGATGAAACAAACTTCATGGAGAGCTGGAGTCTCTTTTATAGCTGAGTAGATATATATTTTTAATCCTTTTAAGGTCTTTGGGTTAAAAAGTTAGGCTCAGACACCAGAAAAAAGGAAGACACCTGTGGCATACAATTCTAAGTGATTGCAGTCTCTGTATTTAATGGATATATTTTTAACGAATTACTTAGGAGGGACATGCTCCTTTGCAGGAAAAAAAAAATGTCTAGCATGCTCACAGGTATCAAATGTTTAAAGGCTCCCACTTATTGAAGGTCAGGGAAGAGGTTCGCTATTATTTTGATCATTGTGTAGTTGGTGTTTATCTGGGGAAGAATTACAGCATTCCGGCCCCAGGTAATTGCAGTGCAGTTTAGTCAAACCCACTGTTCAGTCATAAAAGGTAATCCATCAGGGTAGGTGAAATTTCAGAGTTCTTTTTTCCTTATCTTGGGACAGTCTACAGGGAGGAGGAGACAGACTCTTGATAAACTGAAATAAGGGGCTACAAGAGTGGGGTGGAGACAAAAAGGATATGCAAAAAAGATTTGCACGTAGAATGTCCTCCAGACAATAGGAAGAAAGCAAGTGGGAGAGAACTTAGTAAATGTGCTAAAGTTCAGCAAAACCGAGCAGGTGTAATAGGTAATTAGGCAATAAGGGAAAAGCGGAGCTAGCTTTGCAGGTTGAGAGAAGGAACCTTGGCTTTGGCATTTGGAGCACAGGGAAAGGATGAGAACATTCCAAAGTGGAATGGTGGGGTTGAGGAATAATTCAGAGAGAGGGACAGTAAGTTCACTGAGCTTGATGTGAGGGAGTGAACAGTTATTTGAAATGTTTTTCCCAGCACATGCAGCTTTGGAGAGTTGCAGGGAATCAGTGGCAGCTGTAGCTGGATGTGACCCAGTATCCTCCTGAGACTTCCCGTTCAGGAGGGGAGAAGGTGCGAGTCACCAGCTGTGTTGGAAAAGGAGGATGGAATGGGAGCCCAGGCAGAGTAGGACAAGGTTAGTAGGGCAGAGCCATCTCCTGGATGTTACCTCAGCCCTCAAGGTTGTCGTTGTATTAGAATGGAAGGCATCAAATAACAAAGGTCATTTGGAGACCTGGAAGAGAAGGAGGCTTTCTTTCCATTCCCTCACGGTTACGTGGGGCTTTCCTTGGCTTCCTCTAGAATGATGTTCAGACATGACCTCCAGGCCGCTTCAAAACCTTGTTCCATTACTCAGCCTGGAAGGGAATAATGTTTATGTCCTCAGAATGATTGCTGTGCCCGCCACTTTCAGGCCTGACTTTTGCCCAAGGGTAAACCAACCTCTTTATATGCCTCAGCTTACTCAACTTTGAAATGGGGATAACAACAACCCCTCCCAGAATTTTTACAAGGCTTAAGTGAAATCATGTTTGTGACTCGGACGTGATTGTTGGACATGTTTTTATCTTGCCACGAATATTCTGTATAAAATTAGCTTTTCAGTGGCTCCTGTGATGACTTACGATTAATACAGTTTAAATAGTGTTTAAATAAAAACATCATTTGTGCAGAAAGTGATGTGTTAAGGCATACAGTGGAAATAAATGCAATAAATCCCATCTTGATTCTGCTTTAGTTTTCTGAAATATACATTCAGATTTTAATTCTGGTCCACAAGCTGTACCTTTTGCTGTGCTACCTCTCCCTCTCCCCTTTCATGTCCCAGCCACAAGATTTCCCTGAATGAATTTGGAGTGTAGGTATTAGGTTTTGTTTTGGGGCACATGACTAACTGATCCATGGAAAAATGTTTGTTTCCCCAAATATATATATATGCAGTTGGCTAGTATGGGGATCCAAACCTGTGACTTTGGGGCTACAAGGCTGCACTCTAACCAACTGAGCTAACCAGTCAGCCTTGTTTCCCCAAATATTTGAATGCCTTTTATGTATGTACTGAACACTGTGCCCCTGCCCCTGTCTCAGCTGGGTGGGGGAACTGGACCAAGAAGCTTTGTGTCATGGAAATGTGGAAGAGGGACAGCCAACCCAGGAATGCTGCTTGGAGGAGGAGTAGGCCTCTTGATCTCAAAGCTGGGAACTAGAGATCAGCATGGTCAGTGTGGGTGGCATCTGGGGCTGGGGAGGAATGATCAGGATGATGAAGCTTAAGTTCTTTTTATAATTTTATTTATGATTATGATTATGATTGTCACTAGCATGAGAGTATTTGTGCATTTATTAAAAAATGTTGATTCCCAGGCACCAATGGAAGGCTATGGAAACAGAATTTGAGGAGGAGACATTTTTTAAATTAGTGGGATTACAGGGTTTTTTAATTCTTTTTTTCTTCTAAAATGAATCACAATGAAAATATAGCACATTTCTTTTTTTTTTTTTTTTTTTTTCCTTTTTTTGTCTTTTTTCGTGACCGGCAACGGATTGCAACCCTCAGTGTCGCGCCCGTACTGGAACGGGACCGGCAACGGGATCGCAACCCTCAGTGTTGCGCCCGTACTG